GGTAGTTCCTTGGGGGGGGGTCAGTGGTTGCGTCTGTGTGGGGCTGGTTGTGCTGGGGCGGAGGGGAAGTGAGGCCTGGGGGGTAGTTTAAGGCAGAGAGGGGTTCCCCCTGCTCAGGGGTGAGTGGGTAGGTCTGGGGTGCGTTGTGTGGGTCCCCACTGTTCCCCCTCTGGAAGCCCTATCCGTGGGAGGTGGGGTTGTGTGCTCAGGAAGAGGTTCCCTGCCCCTGCAGATGGAAGGACAGAGCTGGGGGGGAGGTCCTGCCTGGGGGGGTGTCCCATCCCCGAGGCAGCTTTGGGTTTTCCTGTTACACAGAAAGGAGAGCGGGGTGCCTTTGGCGGGGGGAGGAGGGTCCCTGGCTGCTGGGGGGGTTGCAGGGAGGGGTCATCCCGGTCTGAGGCACCTCTGGGGCAGATGGCCCGGGTCTCTGAAGGGACAAGGGTTGTCCCAGGTGTCACAGTCCCCTTAGGGGTGCAGAGCCCGGTGGTGGGCTGGGAGGGTTTATTGCACTCAGCTGGTGGACTGAGGAGTAGGACTGATTATATAAAGGGGGGATTTGGTTCTCTTCCTCCAGCTGGATGTGAGAGCAGCTCCAGGAACAGGTTCCTGACACTCTGGTTATCACATCGGGATAACAACTTGAAACTCTGGTTAATTCTCCTTAGCGGAAAAAAAAAAATCTCAATGTTAAGTGCTTTTTTGAAAAGCTGATTTTGCCAGAAATAAATTCCAGTCTCTTAGAGTTTCAGCAAAATGCAAAGAGCATCACGACTGAAGAGGGAGCTCTCTCTCTTGACGGCAGAGCCACCTCCAGGCATCACCTGCTGGCAGAATGAAAACCAGCTCGATGACTTACGAGCACGTATGTACTTCTCCAGTGGGACTTTTCTATAAGTCAGGGCTGTGTTAGAGTTTGCTGCTAGCTTTGGATTCGCTGGGTGGCGTGCCCTTTAGGGTTAGGGTTGCATGGAATTGTGGAATTTCAGGAAAACAGGTTTATTTTCTTGTTTTTCTTTAAACATAGCTTGGCCTGTGGCTTAGTCAGTCTGCTTGTGGTTTTGATTGCTGTGGGGTGGAACTGGTCTCAGATAAGATGACCTTTTTTTTTGGTCCTGGATCTGAGCAGTGTTAGGGTTCTGTAACTGCGGGAGGTATGCAGAGACTGTTGGACAAATTCAGGCGATTTTGAATGTAATGCTTCTATTTTAATCTTGCTTTTAAAGAAATTCTGGGAGGTGCAGACACACCATATGAGAAAGGAATATTCAACCTGGAAATAGTTGTTCCTGAAAGGTAAGTGGGCAACAACATCGAGTTAAGTACTTGGCATCGTGCTTCCTCAAATATAAGTTGACTGATGTAAAATATTTGATATAAGTGCTCCCATTTTGGTCTTCCTTTAGCCTCCCAACAAAGAATGTGGTTAATTAGGTGAGGCCCTTCCTTTAAGGAATGGAATTGTTATTTCCATTGGCTTATTTTACATTGGGCCTCCTAAGATGTGTGATTAACAACCTAAAAGCGTTATGACAAGGTCTCTGTGTGATCGTATTGTCTCAAAGCTTTCTGGAAAGGAGCTCATTCATGAGTAGAAAGCTTTCTATTGTGTTGCTTCTTTGTGGAAAGGTACCCAGGAAAGTGCTAGTCAGACACAGCTGAAAGCATCAAAGGCAGAGCACTGCTTCCTCCCAAAATTTGTGGGGAAGGATGTTGCCCAGTAAATGGCTGGGAGGAGGAAACGATTGGCATTGCTTGGGTGATGAACCCCCTGGCGTACAAATAGAAAAATAGTTTTTTGTTTCTTAACGCTTATCCCTTAAAGGTACCCATTTGAGCCACCAAAGATTCGCTTTCTGACCCCTATCTATCATCCTAACATCGACTCTGCTGGAAGGATTTGCCTGGATGTTCTTAAATTACCACCAAAGGTAAGACAGCTACTTGGGCATGGGTAAGTGAGCCTGAAGAGGATAATGAACTCCTTATCTTTTTCTTGTAAAAGCCTTATTGAATGTCTGTTCGCTACTGACTTATTTACGCAGGAGCATAGGAGTAAAGTTTTTTGAGCGGCATCTCCTTTGTTTAGAGACTAGAACATGACCTTCTTTGTTCCATATAAGTTTCCAAGGGTTTAAGGATTGGAGTCAAAAGGCATTCGGTGGCCCTGTGAAAACGGGCCACCCCAATACCCACCCGGCAGAGACGTGTGGGATATGGCCTGTGGCCAGTCAGGCTGTCTTGGAGAGGCCGCAGCCTGTGTGTTGTGAACGGATCTGGTGTTTTCTGGGGGGGATTAAATGCTGTAAGTCCTGAGGTAGCTTGTGGGCAGGTTGGGTTTAAATGCTCTAAGTCCAAGGCAGGCCCCAGGCAGGTTTCTTTCTGCTTAACTGCTTCTCTCGCCCTGTTTCCTTGAAGGGTGCGTGGAGACCTTCCCTGAACATCTCCACGCTGCTGACCTCCATCCAGCTGCTGATGGCGGAGCCCAACCCTGACGACCCTCTCATGGCAGACATAGTACGTGAGCTCCTCTTCCTCTCGTGACTGGGAAGGAATGGTGTGTTAGATTTGGGCTCTGCTTCTGTTTTGCTCGCTCTGGATTAACATGCTAGCATGTTACATCGCAGTGTAGCTTGATCTGGATGAGACCTCATGGCATGACGGGGTTGCCCTGAAAGCAGCTGGGGCCCGCTTTTATGGCAGCAGTGGAAAAGAGAGGGTGACGGTCTTGTCTTCAAGCTTGTCAATGCAAACAGCAGCATGTGTTCTTCGAGCAAGCAAAATGAATTTTATTCTTCATGCCGTGTGCTTGTAGCAGTTTTGATCTCGTTCTAAGAGTCCTAAAGCCAGACCTTAGTCCCAGCTCCTTGGTCTGATGTTTGTATTGAATCAAATCTGTCTTTTTCTTACTCCTTACGTTTAGTCCTCAGAGTACAAGTACAACAAGCAACTGTTCTTGCTAAATGCCAGAGAGTGGACTGAGAAATACGCGAGCCAGCAGAGTAGGGTAAGAAACAAGTTCTGCTTTCTCAGCTGAGTGTAGCTCCATCTTTGTGAACAGTCTGTCGTGTTTCAGTTTGCCTTTCACAATCACTTTGTGCAGCAGCTTTTGGCTGCGTTCTTTCTTTCCTCCCCTTCTGTTCTGTGTTTTGGGTACATATTTACTTTCATTAGACTTTTTTTTTTTTTAAGATTAGATTCACTCCTTCCAAGTAAATGTGTTCATCCACAAATAATTGCAGTGCTCCTCAAGAGGAAGGAAGGATGAGTAAGACTGAAGCCTGATAAAACCTTTCCCCAGGGATCCCGCAGCCCTGTTTTTCTCGGCTCTGTTCCCCGCCAGCTCCGTGTGCTGCTGGGGCTGTGCCTTGTGCTCAGCTACGCCCTTTCTCCACCTGCTCAGCCATTTGCTGACCAGTCTCCCTAATTCCCGGTGGAGCGCAGCCTTCCAGCCATCACCCTTCCGCTCTTCCCTTACCCTGACTTATGTCACAGAGTCGCCGCATAAAAAATAAACTGTGCTGAAGCAGATCAAAACCTGTTCCAAAAATAACCAGTTCTGTTTGGGCCTTCTGCCTTACCTGGGAGCTTTCCCTCCCTGCACCTGACCTGGACGACACGCTTTCTGAGAGGGAAACGGCTTCTGCCTGGAAGGCCCACGAGTGACACTTGCTACTCCTGCTCTGAACACATTTGCAAGTTAATTGCATGGGTTGTTAGAAGGGCTCGGGGTGAGATCTTTACAGCAACACGCTTAGCCCCAGAGCGACCTGGCTCATCCACGCATGTGGCACTTCCAGGCTCAATGGTTATCCTGCTCTCCTGTCATTCCCCCTTCCTAAGGTTTCCGGCAGTGGGAGCAGGATAATTAAGGGTCACTGCATCAAAGCTCAGCTCTGATCTTTGCGGAGGGGGGGGGCTGTTCCAAGGTCCACACACACAGACCTGGCAGCACACAGCGGTGCTGAGGGCTGGAAAACTGAATTATTCGCAGCTGTTGCTTTTATTTCTGGTGTCATCACAGGCTTCCAAGCCTCTGGAAGAGAAAATAAACCGAAGCGAAACGACTACTGCCAATGAATCTGCCATGCAGAAAAGAAAAGGGAGTAACCTCAGCAAGAAGGAGAAGAAATCTCGCCTGGCTTCCTGAGTGGTGTTTGCTCTCATTGTGGCTGTCACTTCTGCTTTCACTGTCCTTTACACAGGTATACCTCAGTATTTTAACCAATATGTAGCTTGAGCTGGCTCTGTTTTTCCATTTCCTAGGGTTCTGGGTTTTTTTGTGAAAACTTCCTTTATGTTAATAAAATACAAAGTTTTCATTTATATATATTTTTCTGGTTTGTTGTGGGGAGCTTTTGGAAGAATCTGAAGAAAAGGAAAATGGGAAGTAACGGTTCAGCTTCTGATTTCCAACTTTCTCTCAGAGAAATGGGACCAGCGCCGTGTATTTCGGTTCCTCTTTTACTGTCCCTCCTTCAGAACACACAGAGAGCAGGAGCTGAGCAACAGAGGCATTGGGACTAGTTTGTGGAAATCCTTCTCTGGTAAAGCTTTGTTTTCTTTGTAACATCAAGGCTACTAACCGGTAACTCGGGCATTAAGGCTCGTAAGGCTTGGAACTCCGGCTCTCTAGAGCAGCCTGTTACACCCCAGTTGCAGTGTGGACAGTTTAAGGTGACGTGGGCTGTGTCTTGTTTCTGCGGCGTCTCAGCAGCGGCTGAGTGGGGTGAGGAGAAGCCCGGAGGGTGCCCGGAGGTCTGGATGTGGAGGGGCTCGGGGTGTCAGGGAGGCAACACGCGGGGCAAGAAGCTGAGAGGATCAGGAGGAAGGAGGACAGGTTTTGGGGGTGCACGACAGGCAGGACTGACTCTCTCTCACCAGAGCTGTTTAATTTTGTGAAGACCGCTGGCAGACTGCAGTGGGAGCAGCTCTGCAGAGAAGGACCTGGGAGTCCTGGTGGCCAACAGGATGACCACAAGCCAGCAATGTGCCCTGGTGGCCAAGAAGGCCAATGGCATCCTGGGGGGGCATCAAGCAGAGTGTGGCCAGCAGGTGGAGGGAGGTCATCCTCTCCTCTGCTCTGCCCTGGGGAGGCCACATCCACTGGAGCGCTGTGTCCAGTTCGGGGCTCCCCGGGTCAAGAAGGACAGGGAACTGCTGGAGAGGGTCCAGCAAAGGGCTATGGAGATGATGAGGGGACTGGAGCATCTCTCTGCTGAGGGTCTTGGGGCTGTTCAGGCTGGAGAGGAGAAGGCTGAGAGGGGATCCCATCAATGCTGATCAATATCTGAAGGGCGGGTGGCAGGAGGATGGGGCCAGACTCTTTCCAGTGGTGCCCAGTGACAGCACAAGGGGTAATGGGCACAAACTGGAACATGGGAAATTCCATCTCAACATGGGGAAAAACTTCTTTGAGGGTGGCAGAGCAGTGGCACAGGCTGCCCAGAGAGGTGGGGGAGTCTCCCCCTCTGGAGCCATCCCAAACCCGCCTGGACGCCGTCCTGTGCCACTGCTGGAGGTACCGCTGCTCTGGTGGGGGGGTGGCACTGGGGGAGATCCAGAGGTCCGGTCTGTGATTCTGTGGTGCCCGATCTCCTGCGCTGCGTGGGTGCCTCTAAGGAATTTAACCTGAGTCCTGTTCCTGCTCTGAGAAAAAGCCAGCCAGGCCCATCCTCAGGCTGGAGCAGAGTGAGGACTCGGGGAAGTAATCAGAGTGCAGAGCTGCAGCGCTGGGCTGTGCTGCGCCAGGAAACTGAGGATCCTTGCCTGCTGCAGTTCCCAAAGCCCTCATCTTCTCTCTGCTGCGCTTCATCTCGCTCAGTCGAAGTTGTAATAAAGGCAAAAGGCAAAGAACATGGCAAAGATCTGCAATGACAGGAGGGTGGAGCGGGTTACCCCCCTGCTGCCGGTTCACGCTTGCACTTTGCTGTTTGCCGATACCTGAGAGCCTCAAGACTAAAGGATTGTTGTCCTCTGCCCCTGATGGGCACAGGGTGATGGCTGTGCTCCCTGAGGGGCTGCACACCACCTGCCGGGGCCACCACCATGAAGAAGGCACTTTGGACCTTCCTGAGCCCGGCACACCTCCCCTCCAGTGCCCACGGAGCGAAATAAACTCTCCCCAGCCCTCTCACCCGACTGATCCACAGTGGGAGGTTGGCTTTACGCCCTGAGACAGACCAGCTGTGTGTGCACCCGCTCTCTGGCTGTGATCATGACCGCTCGAAGCACAGAGACCCCATCCTGAGCCCGTTCATGGTGCCTCCACCCACAGACCATGGTCTCGGCAAAAAGAGAGCCCCTGTGAGGTGACCTGCTTCCTGCCCTGTCCCTTCCCATCTGCCCTGTCCCCTCCGGCCCTGCTCAGCACCTCGATGCCCAGCACGGCCAAGCTGCAAGTCCCAGGGACGGAGATGTACTTCTGCAAGGTCCTGCCGAAGGTGGAGAAGCAGCCCTGGGAGAGGGGGAGAGACGATGGAGGGGCTCACTCACACTCCCCACCCCTGCAGGGAGCTCAGAGGGTGACATTGGGGGGGGTGGGGGGCACCGTGGTGGGTCAGGATGAGCTGAGGACTCGGGGAGCCACCGGGCTGCAAAACCACGGGTGGGCAGTGTCCCAGGCGCCTGTCCTCGAGGCTGGGGCAGAGGGTGCTGCCCCACTGCCACCAGCCTGGGAAGCGCTGGGGACAGGAGAGGGACACGGCAGGGTAGTGTCCTACCTGCTCGTGGATGTAGCCAGGGCTCCTGTCCTGGCACTGCTCCCAGCCCAGCAGCTCGCCCGCCTGCAGGAGCCCATCCCGGGCACAGCACACCCGCGGCCAGGGCATCCCCGGGTGCAGCTCCTGGAAGCGGGAGCCATTCCCAAAGTCTTCGGGTCCTAAAACGCCACAACACGAGAACTGAAATGGAAGGGAAATGCCATCAACACGTTGTCAAAATGGGGGGGATGTCACTGGGGGAGGTGGCGGAGGGAGGGGGGACAGCCCAGTGTGGGGCTCAATGTCTGTCTGGGGTCCGCGAGCCCTCTGCCTGCGTTTGGGGTCACCATTGGTGGGTCCTGTGGGTGCTCCACACTCCCCCATAGCCCACCAGGAGCCTCCCAGCTGCTCACCGTGACCATGAGGGTGTTCCAGGCAGTGGAGAAGACCTCAGTGCTCTCGTCCCCGCGGTAGTTCCTCCTCAGCTCGGAGAGGAAGAGCTCGGGCTGGATCTGCAGGATTGGTGCCATCTGTAAGCACTGGGGGACCAGTGCCAGGGACGGGGCCGTGGGGGCTGTGCGCCCACCGTACCCCTCTCCAAGGCACCAGCTCTCTACGAGGGGACGTGGGGACCCACCCATGGAACCCACCCACCCGATTGCTTGTGTCAGGGTGCTGGTGATGAAGACGAGGGTGAGAAAGGACATCCCTGCCCTGGTGCTGGTCCCCTGGGGGACTCGGGGCCACGACCCATGGCATGACAGAGCGAGGAGTGGTGGTGACCAGGCTGGGCACGGCGTCAGGGCGCGGGGACGGTACCTGTTTCCAGTGCACCAGGAAGAGAATAGCCCCGACGAGCTGCGTGATGAAGACAAGGCTCACCAGGATGAAGAACTGGAAGGCAGCAGGATGGAGGAGTCAGAGACGAGCCCGACCCCGCGGGCAGCTCGCTCTGGCTATTCCTCCCCTCTGCTGCAGCCAGCCCTGCCCATCCCCTGAGACCGGGGAGACACAGGGGGACAAGCGCACAGCTCCTGGGGACAGGTGCCACATCTCGGAGCACCGTGGCTGCAAGGCAGAGGAGGGTTAAAAACAAGCACCGGCTGCCAGAGCTTGGGGGTGCCAAAGAATTTGTGGTGTCGGTGCTCAGAAAGGGGTTTCTAGCCCTCATCATTGGGGGGAAAAGCTCAGAAATGCCATGTGGGACAATCCAGCGGCTGCAGAGAGAAGTGACCCCACTCAGTGGCTTTATAGAATCCTCTGGGCTCTAAACTGAAAGATGCACAAGGTGGGGAGTGGATTTGAGGGGGGTGGGGGGGTGTTTGAGAGCTGACAGGGCCAGGATGGGGAACACCGGGCTCCTCCGGGGACATACCACGTCCCCCAACACCCTCCGTCCCCTGGTCTCTGTATCCCCTGGCTCCCTGCGTCCCCCAAACCCCCTTATCCTCTAGTCCCTGCATCCCGCAATACCGTCCATCCCCTGACACCCCCTAATCCCCTGGTCCCCACATCCCTCCTGCACCCCTCAGCCCCCTCCCTGCTTTTCTCCCCTCACTTACCACCAGCAGCAGTGGCCGGCTCCGGCGCAGGGCCCCGCAGCACCCCAGGAAGCCCAGCAGCGAGAGGGCAATGCCCACGGCCAGCAGCAGGTAGGCACCCGCGCTCAACACCGCCTTGGTAGCCACGATGTCCTGGAAACCAGCCGGGTCCACGGCCACCCAGACTCCCACGCCCGCCAGGCATGTCCCCCCAGCCTGCGGGACACGTTGCAGTTATGGGGCGCAAGGACCGGTCCCATGGGGACTGGGGATGCTCTACCCTCTGCAGGGGTCCCCTCCCTTGCGCTGGTGTCACCCACCCGGGGACAGGTCCCCTCCACCCCGCCGGGCCCAGGAGGACTCACAAACACCAGCACGTTGAAGATGAACATCAGGTACTTCATGCAGCTCAAGACACCCATGGGGATGCCGTGGCGGGGGACACACGGCAGCGTTGGTCCCTGCAGAAGGGAGAGAAGAGCCCTGGTCACAGCCAGCCCCGACCTGTCCTGGACACCC